CGCAACCACGTACGGTCAGAATTGCGATCGTGTAGAGAGAGATTGGTATTGGTTATTTGTTCTCGTCCTGATGATGCATGACATATTTGCCATTGGACTTTAGGCAAGCATCAATACATCAATCAATTTCCTGTCAAGCCCGTTTCATCTCTCCTTTAGTAACAGTAGGGGGAAGTTTTGCATTACAAATATTTGTTCTCTTATGCGTCAATTTTTTATTTGTTTGGACATTTAAAGTGGTTTCGTATTTTTTAATTGTTTTACACACCATCATCCATTTAAACCAAGTTAATAAAAGTATGTATTGTTCAATCAATGTAAATAATCAAAACAAATTTTTACACGGATGAGTACATGCGATGAGCTAACATATATCATACGGTAATTAGAGAAAGGTTCCTATTTAAGAATTCCTAAGTTAAGTGATGACTTAAGTAATTTTATGCATACCACTTAAGAATTTTACTTAACTAAGGGAATTCTTAGTAAAATCTAAGTTTAAGGAACACTTAAGTTAAGATGTTTTATGCATACGGGCCCTGATCTGTGTTCCTGATTGTTATTAACCATGCAATTGTTTGCAAAAGAATTGATTTTGCAATAGGGTACAGAAGATTTTGATCTGCCTTCAATGACCTATTGCACCGGCCGTACCCGTTACACGACAATATGGTGTGAGTATGTATCCCTTAACAATCTGACCACAGTGCGGTTTAAATGTCGAATATTTTATTGATATAAGATTTTCTTTATGGTATATCAACCTGAACCTAATTGTAAAATAGATATTCAGCCTTCAAAATTGAAAGGTCAATTGAGTTTATCAATTTGGCCTTGTCCGAATTTAGGTCACTCTAATTGATACTGTGATTTTTTTTTTAAGTACGTAAGAACCTTATAGTATTTTCTTCCTTTACTGAGTTCTCGAAAAGTGGTGGTCCGAAAGGTTTGACCACCAAAATTTTCAAAGGACTGACACTATTTTGGTATTTTGCAATAGAAATAACAGTGAGGATCGGCAGATTTTCTCCAAGGACCACCAGGCGCAAACAGATTTCAAGAACTTTCACTTTAACTGATATTTTAGTCTTAGATGCATGAATTTTTTATTAGTTGTTATTGGATTTGAACTAGCTGTCAGTAACTGCAAGTACTCTCAGATCTGTACTAAGTGTCTTTTTGTTGTTGGGATGTATAAGTACCCTGCCACGTCCACTCTGTTTTTGTTAGATGTATTTCTGCTTTGTATCGACCTGATGAGTTAAACTCTTTTCAACTGATTTTTTTATAGTTTGTTCTTATGTTGTACTGTTACACCACTGTCCCATGTTAGGGGAAGGTTGTCGCGCCTTAAACTTGACTGTCTAACCCCGCCACATTCTGTATGTGCCTGTCCCAAGTCAGGAGCCTGTAATTCAGTGGTTGTCGTTTGTTGCTGTATATCATATTTGTTTTTCGTTCATTATTTTATACATAAATCAGGCCGTTAGTTTTCTCGTTTGAATTGTTTTACATATGTCATTTCGGGGCCTTTTATATAGCTGACTATGCAGTATGGGTTTTACTCATTGTTGAAGGTCGTACGGTGACCTATAGTTGTTAATTTCTGTGTCATTTGGTCTCTTGTGGAGAGTTTTCTCATTGGCAATCATACCACATCTTCTTATTTTTATATAAACAAGTTTATATAATTTGAAAAACTTGTTCAAATTTTGAATTATTCTGATCACTTCAAGCCTTTTTACATGGTACGGCTTTTGTTATTATTTTTCTTTGCATTTTGTTGTGCAGAATATTTCTTTTCATCCTGGTTATTCATTTCTAATTTGAATCCCCCAAAATCAAATTATCGTCCCCGTTATAGCAATATAGAGGAAACAATAGACTCTGCTTGACACGTTTAACTCTCTCTTGTTCAAACAAAACATTACAAAAACCACATCCATATGGACCCCCCTTTCCCTGAGACAATTTTGATAATTAGATAATACCAGTTTGGTTATGGTAAGGTCAAGTACGTTTACATGCATGTACCAATAGATAAATCTTTTCTTTCTAAATATAGTAAAGTGCACTTTAAGTACAAGGATAAACTACATGCATGTAGGTCCTCGGTTTGCGGATAAACAAAAATAACCTTTGTAACTTGAATAAGATTTTGGTGTTTCTGCACATGTCTTTATGTATTAAATTAAAAACGTTGGCTCCAAAATGTGTTTGTTTACTAGCAATGTGCAGTATCAGGTTATATGGGGTTAACATAATAGAGAATAATGGTCAAAACTACTTTGGTAATTTAATTTTTCTCTAAATTGGTTTAAAATCTATAGTCTTAAATGTGTATACTTTGTCGCTAAATCGTCTGATTTTTTTCCGCCAAAATGTCCTGCCAATTCGCTAAGATGGCCACCACAAATTTGCTTTGTGTCGAATCAGCACACAAAATTCTATATTGCAACAACCGTCAAAATGTCCTACCAATTCGCTAAGATGGCCACCACAAATTTGCTTTGTGTCGAATCAGCACACAAAATTCTATATTGCAACGAGTCTTCGATTGGTGGATGTCTCTATCATAACTAGAAATGAATTACAAGTCAGGAATATGGAACGCCATAGCTGCCTTATATGTACTTATTTCTATATATGCACATACTTGTCTATATATGCACATACTTTTTCTATATATGCACATACTTTTTCTATATATGCACATACTTTGTCTATATATGTACATACTTTGTCTATATATGCACATACTTTGTCTATATATGTACATACTTTGTCTATATATGTACATACTTTGTCTATATATGCACATACTTTGTCTATATATGCACATACTTTGTTTATATATGCACATACTTTGTCTATATATGCACATACTTTAGGAACCTCTCGTCAGTAGTAGTCGTATTTCATATCTTAATGCTTTCCGTTATTTTGAAGATTTTGTGTAAAAGGCAAACATTTGATTGTCTCTGTTATTCTTTTTTCACAACAATATACTAAGGACGATTTAGAGCTTGACACATTGTTTTTAGACACCTGTCTTTTGTTGATCAATTATGTCTTTGGGTTGCTGTCTTGTTGACGTACAACCCAAATCTCCTTTTATTCATATGACTCTATATCATTCATCACATTTTAAAACATTTGAATAAAGACGTTTAGAAAGCATTTTATATTCGTGACACCGGAAGAGGTTCCATACAACAATGTCATAAACAGGACAGTGAATATATAGCAATGCTTATTGCAATATATATACATGGAGATTCGAGACTTTTTTTTATGATATTATTGGCATATTTTTTTAACTTATTTGATTGTAAATGCTTATTGCAATATATATACATAGTGATTCGATACTTTTTTATGATATTATTGGCATATTTTTTTAACACTTTTGATTGTAAATGCTTATTGCAATATATATACATAGAGATTCGAGACTTTTTTATGATATTATTAGCATATTTTTTTGAACACATTTAATTGTAGTGCCAAGTTGGTTCCAAAATGACGGCCTCCTCGTTGTATCTCATTCTGTTACAAACTGATAATTTGTTTGATTGGCGTTCAGTGGCGAATATTTTGGATTTTTGCCTGTCATATACTCTGAATATTTGCAATGGATCCAGTGGCAAATATTTCATCTTTTAACTTGTCGCAAGTTTAAGTAAATAATGTTAATTTGTTTTCACTGTGCCAAAAATGTATTAAAGTACTTGAAATTATTCGTTATTTTGATATGTTTCTTTTTGTCATAAAAGATGAAAAGGTTTTATTGGATGTGTGTTTTGTGTATCTGTTTATGTTATGAATTAGACGTTCGATCCGTTTAAAATTCAATCTGGACCTTTTATCCTGAACGATGCTTCTCTTTGCCAGCACCATACACCATAAACTCTCAAAATGTAACCAAAACACACGGGCATCAGCAAAAATGTTAGATGCAATATTTTATTGGAATGCCCAAACAATCTCACGGTTTCTAATCTCAATAATTAAAAAACTGTTACAGCTTGGAATTTCAGATGTTCCAGTGATTGTACATTAGACGTAGAAACCATCGTCATTTGGCCACTGGTGAATAGTTGTCTCATTTGCAACATACCACATCTCTGATTTCTATATAATAATTTTCACGGGTAACTGAGACTGAGTGAATCTTATGGGCTTTCCAAAACATTCGAATCTATGAGTATCTTACTTTTTCTGACCGTCAAAACTACTGTCTAGTTTATGAAATAAGTATGTTTATATTCATTACAGAAGAGATAAAAGATTTCGTTCAAATTATTACATAATTGTATCCTTTCTTTGACCAAATTTGATTATAAACGTTCCCTTTGATATAGGTAATGTTATGTCTAGTCTTAAATTCCATCTCGTGATTTGGTAAAATATTGTGTGGTTTCAGCTGTTGCCCACGGTAAATTTTTGTTTGATTGACTATGAAAAAGAAATAGGTATTTTGTTAATAATGTGTGTTTCATGGTTCTTTTATTAATCATTAATTTTTGCTTCTTTATCTATCTATTCATATGGACGTAGGTGGCTACGATATATAATTCTGGACACATCAACATGACTTTTTTCACCATGAATTTGTATAGTAATTACTATACCAATCATTGTTTTCATAAGAGAGTTGCTTAATATTTTTCACATATCTATAGCAATAAAAGCAGAAGATAGGGGAAGATACCGCAAGGGGTAGTCAACCACAGCTGGGACATAACATATATGTTAGCATAATAGTCCCAGGCTACAGGTTGGTAAAAACAGTTTTTCTGACATTAAATTTTCATAAATTTTATATTGAGACCATGAATTGAAAACATACCTTACAATGTACCTTAAAGAAACAAGTAAATCATAGATTTTATTGGATATCATTTTAAAAATTCTCACAAACTTCCCAAAAATTAGGGTACAATTCCGGGATTAAGATTACTTCTTCTAAACAGTCCTCGCTAGGTGGCGCTCTATCCGCCTACGTGTTGACGCCATGAATGTTAGTTGTTGAAAATATAATTTGCGAAGACGTTAATTATAGACACAAAAAACTAAGACAGTACAATGTCTGCCCAAGAGCAAATGCGGGCGATGTTGGATGAGCTGATGGGCACAGCAAGAGATGGTATGTTGAAGACGATTAGGACAAATTCATGCATGAAAACCAGGAAGCAAACAGGATTTGAAAAGCCTTCCGTCCCAAACCATAAATATTTATTTTTCTCAATGTTCATATCATGGTTGTCGAAATACAAAATGTTTAATTTTAGCATTCTCAATCAGTCTTCAGTTTGATGCTCTTGTTTTCTTTTATGAATTTATGGTTACAAAAATCTTGTTTTGCGTCCTTGACCTCTTTTAATGAGGGGAGATAATTACAATACAAGTTTAAACTACATCTTCTTTTCATTCAATATGATTAATAATTTACTATGGATATTGCTTTCTTTGCAACATTTTCAATTCTCAGGATAGTTGTGATTTTATTTATTCAAAGAAAGTAAAATTTCAACTAGTATTTACAGTAAAAAAGTTTTAATTTTGATTGTCAAAATTTTTCTGATAAATGCCGGTAAAATGGCATTATAATATGACATGAAATATTAAGTGGGTCTATCTTAGAATTTAAATGAAGTGTTTACCTCTCACTTTTGATATATGTACAGTTGTATACATTTCTATGAGTGGATTGGTATATGTTTTTTTTTCAAATGCTTGACTTGTCTGCTTTACAGTAACACTTGTTTTCAGGATTTTTTTTAATGTGTAACTGTTTTTATATGTTTCGTTTATAACATAAATAAATAAATATGTATTTATCCACATATTTAAATTTAATTTTTAATTGTGTATGATAATTTGATATTTTTTAAAGAGTTCTCTAAACTGCAGAATATCTTGTAGTATGAGACTAAACAGTATAACTATTTATATATAAAAGTTATCAATAATTACATTTGTTATCATTTTACATGTATACAAAAATTATATTTGCATGTATTTTAAATAACTGGTATAAGTATAAGATGTTATGCAAACAGTTACACATTGAAATATAATAAATTCATGGGTTTTAATAATTTGCATCCCTATTTTTCAAGGGACCCCTTTCATGTGGTCAGGTGTAATGCAGTCAAATTTGCCAAGGGTTTTAAGGTGATGAAGTCCAAGCCGTGAGTTGAAATTAAATAGCTTTCATTGCAGAGTACTATTTCTATTGTAACTTTGTCTATTCATGTATTAATAAATTTTCATTCTCATAAATAGCATAAATCAAGTCAATTTATGAAAAGGTAAATCATGTTAGCAGGTAATGTTAGAAAGGTAAATTTATTAACAGGTAATTTTAGGGTAAATTTATAACAGGTAATTTTATAATGTTTAATACTTAAATTTTAACTTTTATTAAGCCAATATTGCATACTGATATGTATTTGATAATTTCTACACTTTATTAATGAGCATGTTGGCAGCTTTGAGGAAATATTTACTGTTGCAGGTGAGAGGAAAAGGTGTAAAACTAAGAAAAAAGCATGCCACTGACGGATGATTAAAGGATCGCAGTGTGTATTATATGTAAAGTACAAACAGCCTATGTTTGAAAATACTGTCGAAAGATTTGGTTTTACGTTTATCTTACGAGATTATGAAGGAAAGTTTGTTCAAGTTAATGTGACAAAACACACCTTTTGAACAGTATAAATGAATATAGGGCATATTTTACCCTTTGTCTTATAAATGTGAAAAAAATTGTGTTTTTTTAAATTTGTCAAAAAAAGGATAATTTGGAAGAGATTTACAAATTAAACTTGGGGGAACATTATGACAGACTGAACCCTGCTACTTTGAAAAGTTAATTTCTTTGATTAAATGTATATTTTACTTATTCTGCTGTGGTATTGATAAAAAAAACACATGAATCCTTTGTACAATATATGAATAAGTTTTTTCAAACAAGAACAAGGATATTGGAAGTCACCAGTTAAACTGTAAGTACTAGTATATGGTTTAATAGTTGTGTTTAAATTAATAAATCTTCATGTATCAATTATTTTCAAAAGTTTTTGCAAGAGCAGATATGTTGTGTGCATTTTTAAAAAACCAAATCTTTTGACAGAATTATGGATGAAAATACATGTTGCAAACTGATATTCAAAATTGTTTTCTTTATTGAAATAATTCTGAAAATTTTTTGAAGTTTAGAAACAAAAAATTCATTAGAAGTTTGCAACTTGTAATGCTTAATTATCGTAGTACTGTATAAACTGTTGGCATAATGATATTATTTTTAAACACAAGGAAATAGTATTTTGGCTTCTGAAATGTAAAAAGTATTCATATGCTTTAAATAGTGTATGGCATCTCTTTCCTGTAAAGCAGTCAATTTGAAAAATAAGTAAAATGTTGGCATTCTTCTACAAACTAAAAAATATTATTGTTATTAAAATATAGACCATTCCATTCAGTCATTATGCTAATTGATTATAAATGGGCAAAATTTCAAGGAGTAAACATGTGAATTTTACAAGTTTCTAACATATTTGTCGAATAATATAATTTCCAGGAGATCGATCCCGATACAAAGTGAAGTTTGACGATCCTCGGGTATGTAAGAGTTTCCTGCTAAGCTGCTGTCCACACGATATCCTTTCTAGCACGGTAAGTGATTGTATATAATGGAAAAACATGACATGGAAATTGGTACGTACATCCCAAATAAAGATAGGGTTTTTGTAGCTAGAACAATATTTTTTATATGGAAATGGATTTAATAATGTTATTTCTATTTACTTTCGACATCGATTACCATAAAAAAAAATTGTTGAGGCAATGTTTCATCCCTATTTTCCTAATTGAAAGACTTAGTATGGTTAATATGTTTCTAAATTTTTTCCAGTACTGATTTGGAAACTTTGTTAAAAAGATGCATATTTCAAATTAGAAAATATCAGAATAAGCTAAGTAGTCAACATTAGGTTTCTTATTTATTCATTGTATATTACAACAAACATGTTTTGGTAAATATCAACAGTATATATATATATGAAGATAAAATACATACAGACATAAGTTTAAATCCAGCAAACTTTCAAAACAGTTGGACTAGGCAAATAATCACTACACAATATAGCTGTTAATAGTTGCTTATTGGTTCTGAAATAAATTCAGCTTTTGATGAAATACAATATAATTTAACATGTTTCTGAATTGAAGAAGATATCTTCAGAACAGACATTTGTGTATAAAGGAGTTTTTTAGAATTTTGAAGTTTACAACAATTTCATTTAAAATTGAATGTTAAATATTATGAAATTAACTTCAGTGTACTCCACACACATTTCATATTGAGTATCCTGGTAAACAGGGCATTTTAAAGTACCATCTTATTTCTAGAAATTATAGTATCCCATCAATAACACAATCTATAGCATAACAATCTCCGATAGCATCACATTACCATGATGGTAAACAGCCCTGGAGAGAACACTGAACTTGATGATATAATATAACATTGTTATACTAAAGTTACTTCGCTGCAATATATCTTCATATATAAATCTTGGAAGGAAAATGATAAACATTGTTTTAGAATGAAAATGTAGTTCGATTTATGAAATACTGTTGTTCTGTTTACAGAGAATGGACTTAGGTGAATGTCCAAAGATACATGATTTAGCACTCAGGGCTGATTATGACCAAGCTTCAAGAGGAAAAGATTATTATTATGATATTGATGTAAGTATGGCGAGTCTCACAATGCTGTAAAAGAATGTTTTGCAGTTTTAAAATGGAGCTTACTGTGGATTAATTATTATTTGTCAGATACCAATTTTCGTGGGTACAGGCAAACCATGAAAATTAAAAAGTTCAAAGATTAAAAAATCTTCTATATAGAAATTTATGCAGACTTTTGGGAAATTAATGAAATAAAGTATCCACAAAAATAAATGAATTCGTAGTAAAAGGTTTTATGAAGATGGCAGACATAGTTCATGCACCACAGTTTATCATACATGTAGATATGAATAAAAGAAGGTGTTGAGACATCAACCAGAGGATTGTTCTCTAAAATAACAGCTTTATTACAGAGTTCTCAAAACGAAAAGTGGTGGTCCAAAGGTTTTGACCACCAAAATTTTACAAAGGACTAAAACACGATTGTGGTATTTTACAATAGAAATAATAGTAAATTTTCTTGAAGTTCATGGACCGCCAGGGGAAAAAAAGTTTAAAAACTGACAGACAATTATATTCCTTTCAACTGTTTAGTGTTGTCACAATAGCATATTTGTTTTGTCTTTTTACAGGCTATGGAACATCTTCAGAGTTTCATTGCAGATTGTGACAGGAAAACAGAATTAGCCAAGAGAAGATTAAAAGAAACACAGGAAGAACTGAGTGAGGAAGCTAATACAAAGGTAAAATACCTGTTCTGTACTAGTAATACAAAGGTAAAATACCTGTTCTGTACAAGTAATACAAAGGTAAAATACCTGTTCTGTACTAGTAATACAAAGGTAAAATACCTGTTCTGTACTAGTAATACAAAGGTAGAATACCTGTTCTGTACTAGTAATACAAAGGTAGAATACCTGTTCTGTACTAGTAATACAACGGTAGAATACCTGTTCTGTACTAGTAATACAAAGGTAGAATACCTGTTCTGTACTAGTAATACAAAGGTAAAATACCTGTTCTGTACTAGTAATACAAAGGTAGAATACCTGTTCTGTACTAGTAATACAAAGGTAAAATACCTGTTCTGTACTAGTAATACAAAGGTAGAATACCTGTTCTGTACTAGTAATACAAAGGTAAAATACCTGTTCTGTACTAGTAATACAAAGGTAAAATACCTGTTCTGTACTAGTCTACATTCAGTTGTTACAATGAAAACTAAATGTCATTTATGAAGTTGATGGCTGGGAATATATTACATGTATAAACCAGGTGTGGATTTCTATTGTTTACACACATTTATCTTGGGAGTCTGAATGATAAGTTATATTATTAAAAAGCAAGGAGGAACAAAAAATTGAGACCTTCCAAAATTTCTGGAAAAAAAAACCAATTTTTGTTGTCATAATATTCGAGATGGACCAAAAATTCTATTGGATGTGTACTGATTGATACTTAAGTCTGGGAGAACATGATTTATTAATTAGTTATTTTGGCTTTGAACTAGGTTTCAGTAACTGTGAGTACTTTTAATTTTGGTGCCTTTGTTTCTATTGTTTTTATGTTAGTTGTTTTTGTGCCTTGTAATGATCTTTTTGAGTTCAGTCAATGTCTGATTTTTATACGACCGCAAAAAAATTTTGGGGTCGTATATTGGTATGGCGTTGTCGTCGTCGTCCGAAGACACATTGGTTTTCGCACTCTAACTTTAGTTTAAGTGAATGGATCTCTATGAAATTTTACCATAATGTTCAATACCACAAAAGGAAGGTTGGGATTGATTATGGGGGTTATGGTACCAACAGTTAAGGAATTAGGGGCCAAAAATAAGCATTTTTGTAACTTCCAGACATAACTTGTGTGTTAAGTGTATTGATCTCTCTGACATTGTACCACAAGGTTCCATATCACAAAGGGAATGCTGGGATTGATTTTGGGGGTAATTTCTTCAAAATTTTAGGAATTAGGGGGCAAAAAGCATTTTTCTAGTTTCATGATAATAACTTGTGTGTAAGTTTATGGATCTTTATGAAATTGTACTACAAGGTTCCATATCACAAAGGGAAAGCTGGAATTGAGTTTGAGGGTAATTGCCCAAAACGTATAGGAATAAGGGGCCAAAAATGAGCATTTTTCTAGTTTCCAGACAATAACTTGTCTTCAAGTGTATGGATCTCTCTGAAATTGTACTGCAAAGTACCATACCACAAAGGGAAGGCTGGGATTGATTTTGGGGGTAATTGCCTCCAAATTTTAGGAATTAGGGGCAAAAAACAAGCATTTTTCTAGTTTCAGGATAATAACTTGTGTGTAAGTGTATGGATCTTTATGAAATTATACTACAAGGTTCCATATCTCAAAGGGAAAGCTGGGTTTGAGTTTGGGGGTAATTGCTCTAAATGTTTAGGAATTTGGGGCCAAAAAGGGGCCTTAAAACAAGCATGTTTCTAGTTTCCAGACAATAACTTGTGTTCAAGTGTATGGATCTCTCTGAAATTGTACTACAAGGTACCATACCACAAAGGGAAGGCTGGGAATGAGTTTGGGGGTGATGAATCATAAGGGGGTTCAAAAAATTTGGGGAAGGGAATTTTTTTTCTTTAAAATTTTCCATTTTAAATTGTTTTTTTCTGATTTATATATAAAAGCAAATAATAATGATAATGTTTGAATAGGTAAATTAAAAAAAATTAAGTTCTTAGACCACATTCATTCTGTGTCAGAAACCTATGCTACCTATGAATGTTGTGTCCATACTTGCCCCAACTGTTCAGGGTTCAACCTCTGCGGTCGTATCAAGCTGCGCCCAGCGGAGCATTTTATTACAGTTTGATCTTATGTTATGCTGTTACACTACTGTCACTGGTTAGGGGCACGATTGAGGACTCACAAGCATGTTTGACGGCACCACATTCTTTTGGTGCCTGTCCCAAGTCAGGAGCCTGTAGTTCAGTGGTTGTCATTGGTTCATGTCTGTCATGTAAATTGTTTTGTTATAAATTAAACTTGGTTTTCTCATTTTAATTGTTTCACATTTTTCATGTCAGGGCTTTTTATAGCCGAATACAGTATGTGTTTTTCTCATTGTTCTCTTGAAAGCCGTTAGGTTGCTTTTAAATACTTACATCCCCTTCATTTGAACTCGGGTGGATTTTTGTCTCATTGGCAATCGTACCAAATCTTTCAAAGGGCTATTTCAGAGTTATGGGCATTGGATGTCAACTGATATTAAAAAAAATAGTTGCAGGATTTGTTATATTAGTTAACACACACATTTCATATTTCTAATTAAAATTGTAGGTGTGGAGAGGGGTGTCTTCCAAACCCTATACATATAATATGGAATAGTCCTAGCTATCGTCAATATTAAAATCAAAATGAAAAATTTTATTCTATGTGTTATTCTTAGTTCATAAATTTGTAATAAATATGTAAAATGCTGGTGATACAATTCTACCAAAAAGTATGTTGTTTATTTAGAACTGTTCAATTTAATAAAGCGTAAACTGCAATTTCAGGCTGAAATTATCCACCAGCTTGGAGAACAGATGGGAACCTTACTGGCCAAGGCAGAAGGATTAGGACAAGATGGTGAAGTAGAAGAATCCATGAATTATATGGACCAAGTGGAAGATTTGAAGCGAAAGAAAGCTCTTGCAGAGGTTAATTTAAAAAACTTTTTTTTGGGGGGGGAATGTTTGATGATATGAAATGTTTTACTTTAGATGATGAAAATTCTGTTTCATACATATATATATATTTAGGCTTATGTGCCTGTTGAATGTCAGTTGTTGATAAGAATGAAATTGAGAATGGTTATTAATCTTTACTGTTTGGATTGATATTACATAAAAATGGACAGCAAAGATAGTACCTATGTCTATGAAGTGTAAGGGTGTCTGATTATAATTATTTACAATTACATGTTTAATGTTTTTTTGCTATGCACATACTGATTTTGTGTCATGGATGGATACCCCATATCCTTTCTTTTCTATTAATATTTTGGTATATAGAAAAAAATCCATGAAGAATTTTGTGAAATTATGTATGTTAGAGCTTTTTTTATTGAATATATGGGTACTTAGGAGTTGACTTTTTAAAATCATGCATCATTCCATAAAAGATATAAGCTATACTCTCAATAAAGACTCTTATATAATTCAGTTTGTTTTTTTTGCAATGTATATTTAAAAAAGAATGTACTTAAAACAGTTTATTTGATATCTTTCTTTTTTTTCCAGACTGAATTCAGAAATTCTATGCCTGCTTCAAGTTACCAACAGCAAAAGTTACGGGTCTGTGAAGTATGCTCAGCTTACCTTGGTATCCATGACAACGACAGACGTTTAGCTGATCATTTTGGCGGGAAACTGCATTTAGGGTTCATTACCATTAGAGATAAATTAGAGGATTTAAAGGTAAAAATACAGCATGTTAGATTCTATTCTGAAAAAAAAACTATTTGATTTATTATTTTGGTCAAAAATTCAAGTACTAAGCATATTCATTAACTTAAAACATGTTATGTTATAAATATACCCTGTTCCTTGGGAAGTAGGTATACTGGTTTACTTCTGTGCGTCCAATCGTAACACCTTCCAGTCACTTTTTTCTCAGCAACTAAAAGTTAGTGCTGCTTGATACTTGGTACCAAACTTCATATTAGTAAGCTATATTTTGTAAAACATTTTCTGATCTTTCACTTACCTACTTCCTGTTTGCTGCATATATGTATGCTCTTCACATTGGTGCACACAAAAACAAAATTGTTTAATTTAAGTATTTGAAAGAATAAAACACTCCATGTAATGAGGTTTTACATTTGAAAGTATGAGCTGTAGAAATCCAAAGATTTTTTTTCTCTATTGCTGCCTTTTGAATTCTAGACAAATTTACATGGGAGCTTTATTGACATTTGATCATTTCCTTGGTCTTGCTTTGTTAAGACCACATCACACTTTCTTGTTCTTCAACATCTTGAAAACAGTTGAACAGAATTCCACCAAATGTGAACATATTTTTCTACAGGTCATGAGTTAGTTCACGTGCTATTCTTATTTTTGATCTGAGTCTTTTTTTGGGGGGTTTCCCATGCCAAATCATTCACTGTGACATTTCTTCTTAACTACTATTATTTTCACTCAACATATTTAGTAGGTCAGATTTATAAAAACCTTTTACAGAAAAATGTATCATCTCTTGAAAATATAGAAAATCTTTAATGAATACGTTTCCAAAAGAAATGATTTTAAAGATTATTCATATTCAATAGAAAAGTGTGGCCGACAGAAGAGCACAGCGAGAAAAAGAAAGAGAAGAACAGAAATTGAAACGTGAAGAGAGAGAAAAAGAGGAAGATGAAAAACGGAAAAAAAGTCCAAGTCGGAGTAGAAGTCGTTCTCGTGGCGATAGTCGAGACAGACGTAGGAGATCTAGAAGTAGAAGTAGAAGGTTAGCTTTATCTCAATGACCTTTCACACTTAAAGAAAATATGCAAAATAAGCCAGAGTTGGCTGTATTGAATAAGATTTTGAAAGAAATATTGTATTGAATAAGATTTTGAAAGAAATATATTGTTATGATCTTTTTAAGAAATGATTGTATGGGGAGTTGGTGGTCTTTAGCATATGTTAATGATTGTTTTTTGTTGGGGGGTGGGGGGGGGGGGGGGTTGAGTTATTTGACAGTTTGACACAATGATAAGTACTTAGACTAATCAGAAGTTTCTAGAATACAATTTACATGTTTCTATAGTATGTACAAGTAAGAGATATCAAATTATTTAAACATAGAAAACTAAAATAACATGTAAATTAGACTTCTGCCTTTCAAAAAGAAATAACCAGTTAAAAAATAAAGTGATTAGCTTGATGAACTTTTCTGTTTATATAATATATTTAAGATTTATATAATAAAAATATGTTATAGGTCCAGATCACGGTCAAGGAAGAAGAAATCAAGACATTCATCCAGATCTAGGTCTAGGGAAAGACGCAGGAAAAAGCATAGGTACGTCTTCAATATTGATGTGAGCTTTAATGGACAATAATCTTGATCAGAACGTTTATGTTCACTAATTGTATACAGATGTACATGCATGAAATAATTATTTTATTGATAATTGGAAGTTGTGGTCACAAGGCTAAAACCACATGGAGAAAGTAGCTGCAAATATATTGCAGATCAAATTAACATTTTCCATCTAGTTTATATGTATAAGCAGGCAATTTTAAGGGTGGTTTATTATGCCCCCGCTGTAGCGGAGGGGGCATTAAGTTTTACCCTTGTCCGTCTGTACGTACGTACGTCCCGAAATTGGTTTCCGTTCTCTAACTTGAGTTTGCCTCAACCAAATGTTATGAAACTTATACAAAATGCTTATTACCACAAAACACAGATCAAGTTTGAATTTTGGTGGCGTCACTTGAACCGATCTAGAGTTATGCCCCTTTATAAAAGGAAATATTGCAAAATTTTTAGTTTCCGTTCTCTAACTTAAGTTTGCCTCAACCAAATATTATGAAACTGATACACAATGCTTATTACTACAAAACACAGATCAAGTTTGAATTTTGGTGGTGTCACTTTAACCAATCTAGAGTTATGCCCCTTTATAAAAGGAAAAATTGCAAAATTTTTCATTTTCTTCTAAATATCAAGTTTATATAATATATTTTTAAAATTGGAGTTATCTTCCTTTGACCATGATTATAGTTGAATCAACTACAATCAATGCTTTATACAATGCAATGTTTAATTTTGACTTCCACTGATAAAACACAGATCAAGTTGAATTTGGGTAGTGTCACTTTAACCATTATTGAGTTATGCCCCTTTATAAATAGAAAGATTGCAAAATTTTTTAGTTTAAATTCTGTAACTGAAGTTTACCCCAGCCAAACATTATGAAACCTATACACAATATTCATTACCACAAAACTCAGTAAGGATCAAGTACAATTTTTTTGTTTCAGTTCTCTAACTTGAGTTTGCCTCAACCAAATGTTATGAAACTTATACACAATGCTTATTACTACATAATACAGATTAAGTACGAAATTAGGTGGCAACACTTTTACCATTCTAGAGTTATGTCCCTTTATAAACATAAAAATTGCTGAATTTTTTAGTTTGTCTCAACCAAATGTTGTAAAACTTATACACAACCGTTCTAGAGTTATGCGTGTTTACAAATAGAAAAATTGCTGAATTTTTAGTTTCTGTTCTCTACTTAAGTTAGCCTCAACCAAATGTTATGAGACTTACACACAATGCTTATTACCACAAAACTCAGATCAAGTTCAAATTTGGGTAGCGTCACTTTTACCGTTCTTCAGTTATGTCCCTTTATAACTATATGATATGCAAGTGGGGGCATCATCTGTGTCCACATGTGGACACTATCCACATTTATTTTATTATAATTTGAAGATTGTGTTATTGTGGATATATTTTTTTTCAATGCAAGAAAATAAAACAGTGATAGAATGTAACATATGTACATGTTTTTTGCTTCAACAGGCGATCTAGGTCAAGATCTCGCAGATCACGAAGTAGGTCCAGAAGTCGATCTAGAAGGTCAAGGTCAAGATCTCACAAACGCAAAAGATCTAAGAGATCAAGAAGCAGATCAGGGTCTAGAAGTAAAAGTGTTAAAGAAGATACTAGGAATGGTTCACACTCTCCAGTGCCAGCAGCAGCGCCGCCACCACCTGTGGATGGGTAGGTGTCGAAATAAAAATAATTTATTCGCTGCATTCCTAGTCATATATTATGAATGCTTTTGTGAACAAGAAGGCCTCAGTGGCCGAGTGGTCTAAGTAGTCACACTACTGTATCACTAGCCAGTCAACACTGAGGTTGTCAGTTCGAATCCCACTCGGGGCAGGTGTACTCGACTCCAATCTTAATTGACTAGGATTGTTAGTTTTTGCTACTGAAGGTCAGTGGTTCTCTCCGGGCACTCCAGCTCCCTCCAATAAAAACTGACTGCCACGAAATAGCACAATAGTATTGGTAGTGGCATTAAACACCAATCAATCTTGTGAACAAAATGTTTGAATAACCAGATTACTATGGATCTATTTATTTTCATGGGTGTCAATTTTTGTGGATTGAGAAAAATTCCTACTTTCATGGTTTTGCCAAAGACTGCATACAAACCTATAGAAAATTTATACATTGAACATTTAAACTCCTGGTTTACCTGTACCCATGTAATCCATGAAAATTGGTATCCCACGAATAATTTTGAGTCCACAAACTAGGTCATATTTACACTTCATTTTACAGCCATCCGACTTGAGTGTGTAGGTTCAAACAAAATCTTTGGTTAGCTTGCCTACTAGCTGAACCGTGAAGTCAATATTAGGTTAGGTAAATACTACCCTCCTTTAAGAATAGACTAGTCTGACAAATAAACATTCTATAGGCTTGTAGGATTAGACTATTCCGAAAGGAGGGTAGTATACCTAAACTAATATGACTTCACGGTTCAGCTAGCAAGTAAGGTAACCAAAACTGTGGATTGAACCTATGCACCGAAATCATTTGGCTGTAATGTAAGTTGAGAAAAGTCACATTTATTGTGTGACTAGTTGTCAGTTGTAATATTTTTTCAAAATAACAGTAGTTGCTATTGAATAAATACATGCTGAAAATTACCAAAAACTTTTATATTGCAATCAATAAAAAGTATGGGCATAATGGTGGATTGTTTGTGAGAGGAGCTATAGGGAACATTAATGTGATAGCTACCCAAATATAAAAGAAACTTAAAGACATCTAAATGTGACATGTGTTTATCAATAATTGACGACAAATGTCTGTCAAGCTTTGAATCATCTTGATTCTAGATCTGTTTTGAATGAACTCATCAGAAACTAATTAAAGACGTACTAATGAGATCAACACCCAATTCCAAACATTGCACAAAAAAAAAATACAGAACTGCAAAACCTCTTACAAAAATATATGTTTATACTGTGAATTCATTATTATTGTTTGGTACTAATTATCATGGATTTCAATGGACAGGAAAACCATGAATCTAACTGTTCAACACCTACAAAATTTTCTATAGGTTTATATGCAGAAATTGTGAAAACAATCAAATTAAGTATCCATCAAATTTCTCCGTAAACTAAAACCCACGAAAAGAAAAAGTCCAAATAACAAGAAACAAAAGTATTTTATTTAATTATTTTGAAAATTTTTTTTTAGCTTTGAGTATTCATGAATATAAATTTTCAGCTGAGAGCAATAAATGAGGTTTGCAAAAGCCTTTATTTTAAACATTTCTTTTTATCTATTACAGAGTGGAAGAAAAGCCAAGTGGTGATTAGTAACATTAAAGACTTTATTGACATTTTTAACCTGATCATGTGCTATGTTGACATTATCATGTGATTGACGATTTGGAAAAAACTCATATCATTCTTAACTCTTGTTTTAATGTATCTTTAATACCATTAGAGATAATTTAATGAATTTGTCCTTAGTATCCTTAGTTTGTACTGTTGTTTATTTTGAATTGCATATTTTGAGTGAGACAATTATGACAGATCTCGCAGATTAATGTAAAAATGCACAAACTGCATTAGTGAATTTTATTTAGATGGAAAAAAGACTGAAAACACATGTTACTAAATGCAAGGTCAAATGTATTTCAGATTATTCAACACTATGTTTGTAAACATTTTTTATAACAGTACTGAAGTTTTCTGAACTGTCAGAATTAATTATTAGAGTTGTCAGTTCTTGTCATGAATTTGGTATGGTCAAACAATATGCAAAATACAATTGATATTTCTTTTATAAATACCTTGAAAGGACTTACTTTAATAGAATCACTTACATATCTGCTGACTTGCAAATATGTAAAAAAAAAATATTTGTTTTCAATAATTCTCTTTTTCTTGTTATTGTAACATTTTTCCAAATGAAGCACATCTACAGGTAAAAGAATTCCATTTTGTAATGAATACAGTCGGACGTGTGGATAACTTGCATTAAAGATTGTCCTACTTCAAAAATAGACCCCTCACGTAAAAAAAAGGAGAGAGAAATTGTTCAGTTATTTTTTCTTGTCCATATTTGATTACAGAAATTTATTTTATATTTGTATGTAGAAATTGATGTGTTTTATAGTGTTTGAAATAATGTAGTTTAAACAACTTGAATCCGTGAAACACATTTTGAGGTTTTTAATAACTGAAGTGATTGTTGTTCAAATGATTTGCAAGATTTGGTATACATGATATGAATAAACCATTTTAAATTGTTTTCTTTATCAATTACATTCACGGTACCAATTTTACTGCACCATTTGCACATTTTGATCAATATATATGTGTCTTCAGTGATGCTCGTGGCCAAAATATTTGAAAATATTATTATATCAAAATTAGAATTAGGATTTTCAAGCTTCTTTTCGTTGTTTAGTTATCCCTAATGGAAATTTTGAAGCCTCACCACACTTTGTAAAGAAAGTGAAATTCTCACCCTAGGATTCCTGGTTTTGCTTTAAAAAAAAAACACATCAGAGAGAAGTTTGTGTTGCCTTTTATTTTCAGTAATTAATTGATGTAGCCTTAAGATTTCTGACAACGTCTCTAGTGCACATTATATCAATGAAGTGTACATCCCTCTGTTCAGGATGGCTTGTAATTTATATTGACTAGATATCTAATGGGCAACTTTTAAATTTCTAGCTTTCACTGTCATAGCTCATGTAACAGTTAGAAAAATGATGGGATATAAAATCAGCATATAAAATTTGGATTTTTAGATGAATTGATTTTCAAGATTTAAGGAACTGGGACAAAGTTTTATGCTTGCAAAAATGTATCACGTTCAAGCATTTTGTGACCTTCTACTACTCCCTGAAGTGATTCTCTTGGGTCTACACTTCTCCCTATAATTCCAGAGTGGCTACCACTGGCTTGGGTAACTCCACTAACTAAAAAAAAATAATCCCAGACCGTTTGTTAATTGCAAAAAGTCAATAAAATACTTTCAAAATAAAAAAACAACAAATACATGTACTTTCAAAATTTTGCTTCTGACATTATCTCCTTATCATAAAAATGCTTCTGAAAAGGTTCATTCAATTCGATGAAGGTTTTGACAAAGTAGTTGATGGGTAACAAAATTTAACATTAGACTGTTACTACACTTTTTAACTATAAAGCAACAAAATACGGAAAAAAGTAGAAATATATTTCCATTATGCTCTGGATACTGGCTTTTAGTATAAAAAAGCTTGTGTCCTATTTTCGTAAAATTCCATGAAGGTTTGAAAAGTTATTGATGTCTGAAAAACATTAACCTACTTTAAGACTGTGTCCAAGTATTAACTGTAAAAAAAATCCGTCCATTTATCAGTTAAATAAAAATATATCTAAAAAATTTGGCTACTGTATTTAAATTGATCATAAAAAGCTACTGTCCAAATTTCGTAAAATTCCCGGAGGTTTTGACAATGTTTTTAATGTTTTAAAACAAACTTTAACCACAGACTGAACCTAAATGTTGATGAAGCGGACGGAATGTAAGACTCGTTTCGCAACATGAATGACGCATGCTCGACAAAAATGGAAACCGCATATTGTACCTCAACATATAATAAATTGCTTTTAACAATAGGATACGAAGTAGAATTCACAGTAGATTCAGACTATAACTGACAATAAACAAATACATAACATACCATTTGATTACAAGTAAATTTTGTCACTTTTATCTCCAATTACAAGCCATTAAAGAAAGAAGTACAAGATGCACGTGCTTTTCACCAGTTCTTTAAATTTATTTAGATTAAATTATTTTTATCTTCTAAATTCATGTGTACGCCCGGGCGTTTTGACGTAAACGTAGCTACGCGCCTGACTTTCAACATTAATTCAATCAGGATTCCTGATAAGTAAAGCAGATGAGACATTTCAGCGTGTACACACTTGTTTAACAAAATCAGTATGCTGTCCATTGTGTATAGGAGGAAGAAGCTAGCTGATGAATATCTGATCCATATGTATGTTACGTCAATGCACATAAAGGACAGAAGGACCAGTGGACACTTTTTTGATTCGGCCAGATATTGTATGCTAGTACCTACTTTGATTTATCTCATGTGTCAATTGTTAGTCATATTTTATTGGGTAGGAGATGAGCATAGCTATAAGACAGTATTGTGCAGATAAAATGCATCTTTACTTCTCACAACAAACTTTTCACCTGACCATCTTCGGAAACATTCTGAATAGTGCCTTTGTTTGCTATCGTCAGGAACATTCAGAATAGTGCCTTTGTATGCTTTCTTCAGACACATTCTGCATTACCCTGTTTGCCACCAGACACCCCTGTTCTCTAATTTCGCCATCTGAATAGAAACTTTGTTTGCCAAGTTGGTCATCTTCACTACCATTCTTAATTTGACCCCTTTTTGCCTAATTCGTCATTTTCTAAAAAAACATTCTCAATATACTCCTGTTTGCGAGTTGCCAGGCATTTTAAAAAGCATTCTGAATAGTACTCAGTATATTCACCAAGAAAAATATCCACTGAGAACTCATATAAAATGTTAATCCGTGAAATACTAAGAATAATTTCTATGATTTGATATTATTGCAAAACATTGAAGTTGAAATAGAAAACCAACAGGAGATGTTGTATGATTGCTAATAAGACAACTTTCCACCAGAGCCCAATTAAAAGACGTTGATTTAAGCAACTATAGGTCACATAAACCTGCATGGGTTTTAACTTATGATGTGAGCGTGCAACTGGCAGTAGTCTGGTCAATATAAAATTGAGATATGGTACAGTTGCAGATGACATAATTATCCATTAAAAAGGTCAACATGCGGCCTATACAGTATAATTAGCAATAAATGGCCATGGATAACAAACTGAAACAATTCAAAAAAGAAAACCGACCTGATTACAATGAACGAAAACGAATTTGTCCAACAGCAAATTACAACAACCACTAGACAACAGGCTCTTGGTTTGGGACAGGCACATACTATGTACAGAATTTGAACAAACTATAAAAACAGTTATAAGTGGTTTGATTCGGCAGATCGGTACTAAACCCAAAAAACAAATAACAAAAGACACAACGTACCGATCTAATTTAAAAGGTACTCGCAATTACTGAAAGCAAAACTTCCAACTAATAGATAAAACACATTCTCCTTGACATAAAATTTTAGGAGTTAGAGCAAAAACTTGTATCTAGTTGCATACCCTCCAACAATTACCCAGTGAGCCAGCACTTTAAAAAGTTGACATTGCAAGTCAGTTTTTTACAATGCAGCGGCTGCGTATGGTCGCACGTTATCTTGAATATATCTGCATGCGCATGTACCATTTGCAACTGGGATATCAAGCACACATCACCCAATCAATGCTTTCAATAATCAACTTTGGAATAGAGAAAGTATGACCTTAACTTCATGATTTATTGCATTACAACACAGGCGCTTGGGTACAGAATTTGGATTTTTCTTGCATTGTTTGCACTGAATATTCAATTTTCCTTTTTAAACCATGCACATACTGAACACTACTTTACTTGTCTTACCTTGTTTTGGATGAATTTATCCACTTTGATAAATTCACTTATTTTACTATCCATACTTAAAAACAACATTAGATCGAGTGGATAACTTTAACCAAAACATGGTAAGACAAGAAGCAAAGTATGCGATATAAAAATAGAAAATTGAATATTCAGTGCAAACAATGAAAGAAAAATCCAAATCTTGTACCCAAGCGCCTGTGCATTATGCTTGTGTTATTTCTAAACAGAATAGTATTGAAATTAAAACCAGGGTTCTTGGGTTAAAATCTCTATGCATGTAAGTGATTGCAACTAAAGATATAGTACCGTGCACCAAAGTATTCCTACACAGACGAGGAAGAAGACCATGCATTTGTTATATTGTAGTTTTCGTTATATGCCATTTTACATGTAGATTTATCTTGCAGTTAAACATTACTTCTTAGTATTTCAATTAATTGGAAGACTTAGATCAGTCAGTTTCAAGATGGAAAACCATCCCAACTCCAAAATCTGCTGTTTGGAAGGAAAATCCATCCAAAGGAAAATGGATGGTAATCCCATCCACTGACGAATTGGATGGATATGCCATCCATTACAAAATGGATGAAAATTCCTTCCAAAATTCAAGTGCTCTTTTTGGAAGGAATTTCCATCCAGTTCTTGCATTTCTTTTGGAGATTTCACATGTGCACGTTCATATTTGACAATAACTCATTTGAACTTCATTTGTGACAATTCTTTAATGTAATGGAACCTGACATCACTGAACGGATAATTAAAATTAAATGGTCAGTAAAAAGGTACCGCGCTTTCCGTCAGAAGCCACATTCAGACATATACCTGTAGATAGCGACAATATACATTAAATGATGATTTATTTCCCGTGCCTGAGGGAGATGTGAACATTTGTTCACCAATCTCGAAAAATTGTATTTTCGGAGGGCATCGCCCAAGGGAAATATGACTTTTCGAGGGTGAACATATCTTTTAATTATATCTCCCTAAGCCGAGGGAAAAAGGAAAATAAAAAAAAAAATACCGAATTCCAAGGAAAATTCAAAATGGAAAGTGACCTTTATCAAATGACAAAATCAAAAGCTCAAACACATAAAACGAATGAAAAACAACTGTCATATTGTTCCTGGTTAAGTACAGGCATTTCCTATGAATGTTTTATTCTACTGCCTATACTTTTTAGCTGATTTTCTCATCACTTGGCGTCCGTCGTCCGTCGTCGTCTGTAAACATTTACAAAAATCTCCGCTGAAACTACTGGGCTAAATTTAATCAAACTTGGCCACAATCATCATTGGGTTATTTAGTTTTAAAATGTATCCAATGACCCCGCTTGCCAACCAAGATGGCCGCGACAAGGCTAAAAAAGAGCAGAGGGGTAAAATGCAAGTTTTGTCTATTATTTTGAAAACCGTTATAAATAGAGAAAATCTGACAGGAGCAGAATTGTTCAGAATGTTGAGCTCCATATACGTCAAAACTGTCAGACGACTTCTTACAGGAGTTATTGCCCTTAAATGACAAATTTTACCTTTTTTCTTTTTTTCTCTATCTTGAACACTATAATAGATAGAGAGAACCTTTAAATTGCTAAAATGATCAGCAAGACAAGAGAAGTTCTACAAATAAGTCTACATGGTCGAAATCGTCAGTCGACTCCTTATTAGAGTTATTACCCTTTGATGACGATTTTACCAATTG